GTATATGTATTCGTGTATGTAGAGTATTCAGCTGACGAGTTCTACCGAAATTTGATGAATTCATTAAATCCTGCTTTATTAACCTTTATTGCTTGTTTTATATTATTTATAAAATGAAATTTTGTGAATTCTGGTTTAGTATTACTTTAACAATGTAATTAGCATTGAACAGTCAGCCGTTAGTGGAAACGCCATTGTTTTTTTTCCTTCAATCATTTTGAATTACAGAATTGCTTATAATAATGAATAACCTATTCACAATTCCAAAACTGTTTCTCCAGATTACTAAATTTGAACTTGATGTGGAATTATACAGCTGTATAACTCGTTTCGATTCCTGATGACATCCACTTTACCTTGACTCCCGTTATATAGTTGTCCACAAACGTGCTGATCGATCGGTGTTTTGTGTTCGTGTCGATTATCACACATAATCCCCACATGAAATCATCTCAAAACATTTCACAGTTACTTGGGTGCTAAAATTAATAATTGAAAAAGGAGTCGATGCGCATATTTCATGTACACCATTAAGAATACACTACGTCACACACAACCATCCATCCTACAAATTCCGATCCATTCAGAACCGATCACCACACACCACATTGATCAATTCACTGTATTTTTCGTCTCCCCAGTCAGTAAGCGAATCTTCAAGCTTAACGCATGAGAAGCTCCGAGTTCTGTTCTAATTGTGTATAGAGAAGTACGTTCAGTAACTCGAATTTAGTGCCTACATTGCCTCAACTCTTACTGTCTCTTCTTCATGATCTGTCCCGATTCATTCATCCAGTGTGAAAAGTACATGGCGAAGTAAGTTTATCAACTTTGGATTCCATACATATGTCCCTATGACTTACTAGCCTCCTGGTATGTGACTGACTACAAAAGAACCTGCTTTCCGTTCTCCAAATTCCAACTTCATTCGTAATAACACTGAATCTTAGATATCCCTCCCAAATTCACGCTCGGCATTTACGTTAACTGAATTCGTCAATAATCTCGGGAGTGCTCACACCACAAGCATCATCTACACCGTCGGATCCCAGTTGCCCAACATTTAACTGACAAATCCTTAATCCCTAACCAAGCTATAGAAATATCCCTCTTCGAAGGTTACAAGCTACAGGATCTTCATCTCCAGAATAACAGGGACACAGAAGATTTTCAGTGGCATGATAGAGTATGTAGTGGTATTTCTCACTGATATGTATCCATATATATGTGTGTGTGTGCATGGTGGTCTCTCTTTCTATTTGCTTGCTTAGTCTGTGACCATTTCACTTTGATGAACCTGTCTCCTTTAACAATGTATATTCCCCTCATATTATATATAATATGAGTGTTTGTTGACAGTCCGTTGCTTGGTGACATATATCCATATTATATGTGTGGTTGTTGACATGTCTGCTATATTTTGCTATGTATATATGGATCGATACTCCATTATAATTAGCCATTCATGTTAAGACTGTCTATTGATTTGTTCACACACTTGTCTGGACATTCATATATATTTCGCTCTGACAATCTTGTGTGACACTTTGGTGTGATACCACTTATTGCTTCTCCTTGTGTTTGGAAAATAGAAGTATCATCGCAAACCTGGTGGTCTTCTGATTTCCGCCTTCTTGCGTCAGGACTATTAAATTCTCGACCAGTACATAATAATAATTTGGCAACGTGTAACATAACAATTTGGCGACGGGGAAAACTACTATTAACCACTCAGCAGCAGCAACATATCAGTCACCACATCTGATTGTTTGCAAAAATGACAAACAGGGGTAACAACATATTGAAATTTCTCTCTGAAACTGCCATTTACATAACACCTATAAAATCTATTCTATAGGAAACACCATCCTCTGATTTGTCTGAAGAGTTTTAACAATCTCCTTTGTGATGAATTCAAATTCACCTTGCATTCAAACACCTACTTTCATAACAAAAGTCTTCATTTCTTTTGACAAATTCACACTGAGAATTGTCAACTGACTTTCTCACTATCTACAGAAAACATTTGAGTTATGTGGCGAATTCACCATACAGGATTTATCCAGTACACAGTACTATCCTAATGGATTGTAGTCATGAATAACAAATCAACAAGCCTAAATAGTAAGGTGAGAATCACCCTCAAAATCACACATCAGTGAGATAAGCATCAAGACGGTGTGAAATGGTCCACCTTCACAATATGAAGCCGAGCAGTGTACAAAGATTTTGAAAACAGATATCCGAAGAGGGAGGAGATTATCAGCGAAAAATATGCAGCAAATTGAGACCGGTCTTTTGTTGGTGGAGAATTTTCTTGAGGCCAGTTTCAATGATGAAATATTGTAGATATAAAGATTTTCGAAATCAACAATCGCCTTGGCCTGATAAATCAGCATTCAGAAGAAAGTCAATGTGTCACATGTATTACACTTTCACAGTTTATGCAATACATCAAAAGGAACTGACTCGCTGATAATGAACACTTCTGGTTATGATATTCGGTAGAAAACATCTAAAAGTAACATGCAAACTCTCTCTGTTTTATTGGCCATGCAATTTCCAGAAAATCCTTATTTGATAGCGTTATTACAAGACGGAGATTATCTGAAAAAGTATGTGATGTATTTGCCTTATACATTTCAAACAATCTGATCCCTCACACATTTACTTGTCAAGTCAATATATATGGAAAAGTTCAATTAAGCAAAGTGACAAAAGAAGAATTAAGAATAATTAACACAAACGTTTGGTAATCCAATCAAAAAAGAATTACCACGGTAGGTTGAGATTAATAACAAACTGTTTTTGAATACACAAGGGAGGATATGGGAAGTCCATTAAGACCTTTGTTAGCGGATGTTTGCATGTTTTATGTTGGAAACTTATCCTTTGATTTGATTTCTAAATTGCCCTTCTATAAGAGATATGTAGATGATATCATTCTGATATGCGACGATCATGAAGATGCGAGTCGCCTATTAGACAGACTCAACTCTGTACAGAATCATATTAGTGTTACATGCGAGGAAGAAAGTCGAAATCAGCTTGGAGTTTTAGACATACTTCTGAGTCGAAGAGATGATGGCTCAATAAGACGGTCAGTCTACAGAATTCCCACTTGGACACGGTAATACCCTTGTGAAGTGTCTATTTAAGAGGATTCATCATATTTGCACGACTGATATTATAGACAAAGGAAACGAAATATTGATGGATACTCTTGTTGAAAACGGATATTTTTAAAAGTTTTAAACAGGTGTAGAAGTCAACTAGCCTCTAAACCTACAATCCATACCGTCCTTTAGAAAAAGGTTTTCATGAAATTACCATATAACTGGGAAATAAACAGTAGGATTTTGAGAAAAAGGTTGAATCCGATCATCCGTAGAACCTACTATGCAATCCAGCTTGTAACTGTGAAAAAAGCTAAAATTATGTTTCACTGCAAACCTTAAAACTGCACAAGTGATTATGTCACATCCCTCACTATCTACCAGTTTTCGTGTATGTGTGGTCACACATACATAGGGAGGAGTAATCGCGCTTTGCATGTGAGGGTGGGAGAGCGTATCCGAAAATGACTATAAAAAAATGAATTGTGGAAAACCAATAGATGCAGGTGTCAGCCTACCAACTTCGTCTATAGCTAAACACCTAATCGAGATGAACCATAAGACTGATGTTAACTCAGCCTTTAAGGTCATCTATAAAAAGTCAAGGGCACATATTGAAATACGCTGAGGCTATAGCTATTCATAAACTTAAGCCCCTCGTGTGTATTCAAAAATAGTTTATTGTTACTCTTAACCTACCTTGGTAATTCTTTTTGATTGGATTACCAAACGTTTGTGCTAAATATTCCTAATTCATTTTCGTCACTTTGTTTAATTTAACTTTACCATATATACTGACTTGACAAGTAAATGTGTGAGGGATCAGATTGTTTGAAATGTATAAGGCAAATACATCACATACTTTTTCAGATAATTTCCGTCTTCTATTAAGGCTGTCAAAATATATATAAAAGGGAGTAATTGTTTTGAAATCCTTATTTGTACAGAAATACATGTCAATACAATCGTCACACCGACTATCCACATTCAGAAAGCAAAATATTCAATGACAAATTACCTCCATCATCACTCTCAGTTAAATGCAATCGAAGTATTAGAATTATAGAGACAACTAAGCGATATTGTGATAACATCACTTCATCATTGATTTTGTGTAATGAAAAACAAGACTCAGCGAAGATCGATTCGTCAAGTCCATAGGTTGATATATCTGAGGATAATCGTCTTTGTCATTAATAGTCGACCTATGTCCTACTGCTGAAACGCATCGTATAGAGACATAACTATGAAAATGTGGAGGCAGTGAAACGTATAAAAGGAGGAATTTAGAACTATACTCTCAACACAATAATCTCAAGTCACGTAAGCGTTAATATTTTCGCCAGTATTCATTAATTACAATGCCATTAAACATAGACGCTTATCACACACTAATGACTACAGTCAGTATAAACACTCTGAGCTACTTCACAATCAAATTCACAAACATAATACAGTACACCTTAGACAGTTACAGTTTAACCAGATCCGTCTCTTCAACTGCTGCTCTTCTATTTCGACATGAATGTTAAAATAGTCAGAAAGTTTGAATACTTTATCGAGTATCCCCATATTTCATGTATCTGGCGACTGTTAGTTACACCTTTGCAAATTACATGATTCCGATTGTCTCACAAAATCAATGAAACCGTAATATTTTCCTCCTTAGCAGCCAACACGATTCTGTCAGACACAGACGAAGGAAACTTATTCATCATCAGTTCCGAATAAGAAGTTTGTACGTAAGTTCACTTGAATAGTTATTCATTTGAATACTTGATTGAAATGTAATTCGAGATTTTGTTTCTTCCTCTTCTCTCGGAGAAGTGACTATGAAGGAAACATTCAAGGTTCGTTAACGCATTTCTTATCTGACATTTGCAGGAGGAGATTACGCGTGCAAATTTCACTCTAAGCTGTGTGAAAACGGTAGGAATATTTATAAATTTGAAAAGGTTACACTGAAATCAAGTATATGATTTTAACGAGTATAATGATTGGGATGACGTTCGTAATCACGCTGTTGGTATATGACATGTAAGTACATATAATGATTCATTGTCTGTGCGTCCATGTAGAGAAAGTATTCAGAGTCGCTTTATAAAATCTGACATAGTGTTAATCTACCTGTTAATCTTCATGTAAGTTTCCTCGAATGTGATTATGCTGGATATTACCTGAGTTTCATTTCTTATTGAAAAAATCTGTTATTATACGATTTTATAAGAGAGGTTATTGACGCCTTGTTTTGAAGTGGCGCCTAATTTGTAGATGAAAGCTGATTGAAGATTTCAACGTTGATTGAGTAATCCACTCCACTTTTTCATTTCAGGATATCTGGTCTAATCCCTATATTACTGGCACTGTTTGTTAAGAAACTTAGAAAGAACAGGATACTGACTTATGGCCTCTTTCTATTGACTGTGAGTTTGACATTCTATCTGATGAATTTGTACCTATTTCATAAAAATGCGCAGTCTGCTGTTTATATTCGGCATTGAATGCGAATTCCTCAGTACAACCAGACGAAATTATTTTGATTCGCTTGATTGACTAAATCAGATATTCCTATTTATTCAACAAGTTTCAAAAGTGAGAAAATCATTCGCTGACATTTTTAACAGTGCTGTCAAATAGTTTCAAATTTATTACTCTGAATAAAATTCCAGAAACAGAAACTTCACAAATCTATTGTTGTTTGCTCACGCATTGACAAATGTAGTTCATGACCTCAAATCCAATGATCATTTCGTCCAATACAAAATATTGGTGCACGCAACATTACACTGGACAGTTTCCCGATGTGTACTAACACTACTGTCATGACTTTCCAATTCACTAGGTGATGAATATTCCAGTCCTAGTTTGTTGTCCTCTCTACTTCTCCCCAAACATGCATTCTCTCGTGAACTGGCGTTGAATAATTGTCTGAAAAGCTCCGATCGACGTTTCGAAAGCATCTTGAGAGAAAACATCATGATATGATTTACTTTCTGGATTCACCGGTTATGCGATAAGTTTTCCCCTGTTGATGTAGGTCCTGATCGATTGATTTCTGTGATCATTCTATATTATTTCATCCATTTCGATTAACACCAACTGGCCTTCCTATTTCATTCTTCGACCAATTCTGTGTCATAGCGATTCCTCATGATGCACTGTCTAAAAATACTGTTGCCATCCTCATTTTAACCGATACTAAGTTTTTCATGACTGACTAACTTCTTCACTGTCATAATCATTACATCCTCCCACACTTGTCTTAATTCGTCTTTGAAGAATGTTGATGTGCATTTAAGCATTTACTACGTCTCACTGATTGACTGTATTATTCCGAATCACCCGATCACACCTGAAATGTGTGTGGATCCACGTGATGTCACTCCGATCATAGTAGCTTACTGTCAAACCCAAGTTTCAAGTTTTGCTCCACTCAAGGCTTCAGCCGACGACTTCCAAACTGTACAAAACACGCATTCTTCATTCCACTGTTAGCTTTCATCATCATCCAGAGGTGTAACTGAAGTGATAGGTAGAATTTTAGTCTGGTAACTCAATTTGTTGTATTAGTTATCTGCATTGGTCCAGTAAGATACTACGCATTTGTTCATGTTTGCGGAGAAATTAGGGACAAGCGATGTGTGTAAAGTCATGAACATACGTGCACTTTGTGATAAAGACATATCTCTAAATATCCGTATTATTAACATAAGAACATGACGTTCAAGCGAACAATATTGTTTTCAATAACACCTTCCTGCTCCAGGTGTCACTCTTATTCACATATAAATTATTTATAAAAATACTAACCAATGACGGTGATTTTGTGGATCAAATAATAATAATGTGATAGATGCTTTGAACATCAGTAATAACGATGATAACAAAATAATAGTAACAAGGATTATGCAAGTGGCGATAAGAACAGCGAAGATAGTAAGTAATATGTGTATATGTAGAGAAGTAAATCAGGTCAAATACGAAAATTTAAATAATGATAAAGGTGAAGTGGACAGATAATCAGAGTTCAAATATATTTCATTAAAACACGAAGGAAGTGGAACATTAGAATCGCCAGGAAAGTTATAATTAGAGGTTACCGAAGCCAAGGGATGGACGAAGATACACCAGTCCACATTTGTATGCAAAGACTAGACTGTTCTCACGAATTTATTCACATAGCTCCGGCTATGTGGCGATAGCTCGATGGAATGCGATAGATAACATTGAAAGCCTTCCTTGTGGTGACCGTCATCAGTCAAATGAGTCAAAACAGAACTCCTTACAGATTTCATTTGGAAGGAGGTTATTCACAATAATATATATTCCCAAACCTTAATTTATTACCAAGAATGTATCTAGATTGAGAGAACTCATGAATGATTTCTCACATATCCAATGTACTAGTCATCGACGCATGCACCGAAGATGTATATATCACCACACATCATTTTCCAATCATCAAATTGACTTGAATTACTCACGCATCCCTCCTCAAGATTCTGAATTATTATGATGCACAGACGAAATAGCTAAAGGCGGTAGACAACTACCAAGTTCCCTGCATTACAAAGAATCAATGGCCTACATTCAGTCAAATTTCTGGCTAATTTACATCTCTTGTATTCTTAATAGTACTCATTAAACATAATTCATATTTTTCTCATTAGAACATAATTTGTACTCGCCACAGGTGCTCTTTTGGTCTGCTATATTACCTCCCACGTTAAACTCAATTCGAAGATGGAGTTTCATGCCATGGATTATTGTGATATTTGTGGGTTTACCGTTTTTGGTAGGCGGATATGAATCCGGCGAACTAAGTAAGAGGGGGGCGATAATCATTCTGGCTTTGGCACTTGTATTCAGTTGTTGGGGTTCATTATATTCATGATTATAATATTATCAACATTTCCCCTTCTTTGCCATCTCCAACTCTTCCGGCGGCTTCTCCACTTCGTCGGATACTTCTCCTTCGCCACCTTCTTCTCCTCAAACGTTTTCTGTAAGTAATTTGTTCATTTTGAACTATTTGATGCACACAGTTTTCCAATGCTTTTGTAATTCTCAAATCCCAACTGACTAAACTGTGATAAACACATCACTCAGTGGAATTGTTTATTTGTTCATGAACGTTAATTCTGAAATCAGTTTTAACATGATGATGTACTCCCCTACAATTTTAGTCATCACGTCATCTTAATTGACCAGAATGCAATAGCTGGCTGGATATTAGAAGTGTCCTCTACTATCACTGTAGGTAATAATTCTATGCATTATATGGTCTCAGTGACCACCTATTTCGATCACTTAGATTTGCAATGTAGCTACGAATTTGTGAGGTTCTCTAAAACGATTTACATTGAATCAGTGGTACTGGGTTGATGATGACTCGAAAGAGATGTCGATCAATTCCTACTGATCATCGTTATTCATCAAACATGAATAGTTGGATTAATGGACAGCCCACATTGTCACTAGTCCACTGTTGTACAAACATTCAGTCCAATTAAAATAAACCCATGTAAACAGTAATTGGTGTGAAAAGTGTACACCACATTGAATCCTGCTTCACTCATTTTACGGAAAATATGCTAAGCGAAATACGACATACTCATATATGCAAATATGTTCATTAACTGAATGATAAGTATATAATCAATTTCTAACCAAAAAATATCTCTGTTACAACTTTCTCTTGTCTTTAATTAGCTCGAGGACATACTGAAAGTGGTATCCGGTGTGCTCTTAATTTTGGGTGAATTACTAGTAAGTCACACACAGAGACAGAGTAATTTTAGTATATGCATCATTGAACTGTTACTCTAAAATGCAAATAATTGCTGTCATTGATCACGAGGTGACATCAGTTAGAGAACCATTGGAATCCCTGTGAGAACCAGACAGCTGTTTATGCAGCATCGTTTGACACCCTTCAGCAGTATTCACTACCCGAAGTGAGAACTCAGGGCACTGTTGGTACGAGGCGATCTTGAAGAGCATTCAGACACCAGGACTCGTTCTAATGATGTATGAATGGCAACTTCTGCCAATTATCGATAATCTATCCGGTTATTTCATCCTCATCACAGGCAGAAAAACAATATTCGTAATATTTTGTTATGGCTTCCGGGTGACGTTGATGGTTGATTGATAGATACTCACGATAGCTCAACTTCAAGTTACTAGGTGTGGAAAAAATCAGTGTTAAATATTTTTGATTTCTTCCAGAAGTTGTCATTTAAAATGTGCCAGTTTGACAAAATATGCTAACTTCATTTCAACATGGTTCAGTGCGAATAAACTTGAATTGCAAACAAGGAGTCCACAGCTGAATTATTGTTACATTATTATTTCCATTAGTTCCTAGAGGAACATAACGCTTCAGCCACATGTCTCTATCGCGTTCGGTTCTCTATCAACGTTTTCACCTCGCTTCACGTCAGCTCACATGCCTTCGTCTCATCTTCGCATCGCCTCCTCCTCCTCCATGTAGCCCTCGCACTGACCGCCAACTCGCCACTTCACGTTCGGGTTCCACTCGAGCAATGGCCTGGCGAGTGATGTCACTTGATGGACTTTTCAGAGTATAGCTAATCCACATATATTTCTTCCTGCAGATTTGTTGCACAATCGGTTCCTGCTTGGTTAGTTCGCTCATTGTCAGCGATTCCTGTTGCTGATCTCCTCTGGCCGGCCGTCTCATCTTGAGTAGCTTTGAGTAAAGACAGCTGTTGATTAAGGTCTTTAATTTGTTCGAAGTCTCTGATCCGTATAGTAGGTAGCACTGACTTCACATTCCAGTTGAAAATCCGTATCTTTTTTGCATGCTGATTACTGTTCAATGCTTTACAGTATCACAATTTCTAGATGTATTTAGCGACAGTTAGATACAAGATAGTAGAAACCAGTGGTATTCACCTTCCAAACCGATTGCCATAATTCTTGAATGAATAGTCACAGTGTTGAAAAGCTTCAGGTCGAAGATTAAAGAGTTATTCCTAGCACACGTCTATTTACTGAAGTTCAAATCTTATGATGCTGACACAAGAAATCCCCATCAGCTTAACATCTGAATATGAATAAGTGAATAACTTCTCAAAACGTCATGAGATGCACACTTCACATGACTGTTATCATTTACTGTATTGGGTTGTAAATCAGTTTATTACATCTCGTCTCTATATGAGCTCAATACTCAACCATTTGAACATAAAACCGCTACATATATATGTCTCCACAAAGCAAATCAATGCATTTTACCTTACACATTTCACTTCAACATTCAACGATCGTGCTATTCCTATACTTCTTGTGTGAACAATATCCACAAGTATCATTTATATCGTTCGTTCCTTTATGTACACAAATTCACGTCATATTGCATCATTTCATTTCTATGCAACAGATGTTATATTTGGTTGGACAATTCTTAAAACACTGCGGCTCAAGTCAATCCAGTGTTATATATCCCGCTTGGTTAGCTCTAGTCACTTGGCTCCAAGTAGCTTCAATGTATTTCTCTATTACCTTTGTAGACACAGTCGACTGGAAAACGATAATCCCACAATCGTAAAAACAGTTTTCTCTTTTTTATTCGATATGATGATTTATTTACTGTGAGTGAACCATGTGTCTGTATGTGTCGATGACATTATTGCTGATATAGTCATTGCTGTTATTGGAGTCATTTTCATTCGAAATATATTTCTGAATCATATGGATCAATGCTTTTCAGTTCAAATGAACAGGTATCACTGAGTTGACGCCCAGTTGAACATTAATTCGATGCACATTTAAGTACGTTCACATATTAGCAGTAGACGACAGTATATGTGTCTGACTAATAATTTGTTTCTAGCCTGTATCATGATATACACATATATCATGAGAAACACACTTGGTTAATAATTATAATAATAATTTCGCTTTTATTCCGAAAACGTACTTGTGGTACAGTGTGGAATTTTCTGCACATATCTACAATATTGCATCTAATTTCATCGCACATTTAAAAGGAGTATTACAAAAATTATATATATAAAAACGATAACAAAACCAAAAAGAAACACAAAAATAACAAAAATGCAAATAAAAATACCAAGTAGAAAGGAAGATAAACACCAATAATGAAAATATTTCAGTATTTGGTAGTGGAAGCTATGATATGTGTATGTGTGGTGAACAGTGACAGCTATAATCATACAAGAGGTTATGAAATGCTCTTAAGAATGTTTATAGTCAAGATGATCGGTTAGTTTGATTGAACTACACTAAACAATCATAAAATAAACATTTCAGGGATTTTTTATTGTCAGTCTAATGCGGTTTGTAGTGGTAGTGTGAGTAATTCTGCATAATACAAAATTTTTAGGATGGTGATAACGGCGTTCACAACCAAGATTGTCAGTTTAATATTGCCGAACAAAAAACAAACAAACACAAAACTAATATTACATCATGGTTAATGACAGGACAATTTTGTAATAATCATAGTGATAATATAGACGGACCCAGTGGATACACAAAAGAAGGAATAGAATAAAGAATAAAAAAGTAAGCCAATGATAATAATATTAAGTTGCTAAGTATGTTTGAGAAGGTTGTTCACTATAGAGTACAAATAAGAGAGTATAAGAAATAAAGGGCCAAAATTATGTTATTAACAACAAAGCAAGTTATAGGTTTCGCGCTTTACATTGTCTCTGTCACGTAGAACACAGGCCAAATATGGTATCGTTGAGTTCCTATACTTGGTTGTACGAGGATATATTATTTTGTACTGATTTCTGGTTCTACTTCATGATATGCAAGGAGAGAGTTGGGAATAGAGGGTGTGTTAGGGGTCAAAGAGTATGGTTTTAGAGCATTTTTTGCATATATCTAGATGCCTTTCTACTAATGTGGTGACGAGCTGACTGAGGTCTACTCCACCAGTCCTACTAACTACCTTCAACATCCTTCTCAGGATGGTACAGTCCTTTTTCAGTAACCCAGGAAAGACTAACGGGGAGCAGTAAAGTAGAATAGGTAGGATACGAAAGTTGACAAATTGTGAAAGCAGAGGTTGAGTTACTCCAGTTAGTCTGAGTTTCTTAATGTAGTAGGTTAGACGAAACACTTTCTTGGAAATCATTTGGATATGAGATGACCAAGTAAGGTCGGAAGATAGAACTAGTCCGAGGTATTTTGCATTAGTGAGGAACTCCAGCTTCAGTAAGCAAAGGAGAGGAGGTTACACCATTATATACCGTGTACTGCATCCTATTGGAGAAGTAAGAGTGCAGCCAGTTGATAGCCCATGATTCAGTTTGTGTAAGGCTAAGCTTGTTTAACAAAAGGCCTCTAGGTACAGAGTCGAAAGCAGATGTGTAATCAAGGAACGTACAACCGACATACTTGGCCCCTTTGTCTAAGGAGGATACAATGTTGTGATGAAACACAGCAGCAGCGTTTAAAGTACTTCTACACTGTTTGTAAGCAAACTGCTTTGGATCACTTGAGAAGCTTAGGGAGGGAACAAGTCTTTGTAACAACAATTTCTGCATTAGTTTCAAAAAAGGAGAGGTATTAGCAATTGGTCGAAACTTAACACTATTTCCAGAACCAGACTTGGGTACAGGGATGGTTTTAATATCTTTCCACAGAGAAGGTACAGCATTATTAGAAAAAGAAGTATTGAAAATGTTTGTAAGTGGGTTACTTAAAATATCAGCATATTTCCTTAGAACAATGGCAGGTATAACATCAGGACCCAGACTCTGGGAAGGTTTAAGAGATTTTACACATTTAAGAACATCAGAAGTATTGAAACTATGAAAGTCACTGGTCGTGTTATTAGTTAAATTGAAGGCGAAAGGGACATTTGGAGGGTGGATAAAAGATCTGTTGAGAGTATTTACATCAATATAAGAGGCAAAATTACTATGCTTACCACAACCTGCAATTTCTCTAAAAAGCTTCCATGTGTTTTCTAAAGTTTTACAAGACAGTATTGTTTCATTACAAATGTTGTTTAGTCTCTTGATTTCAGATTTAATTTGGATGTTTACCTTCCTAAACCAGAATGATTTCTCATCATAATATAACTACATACCCTAGTAATGATTTTCACCATCAGTTATTGACTAAAATGTGTTTATGTTCGATGATGTCCTATCCACCTGAAGCACGTTCGGTAGTTGTCATGTTAAGGCTTATAAACATACTAATCAACATCTTGATCATTTCACGAGGATAATAAATGCAATCTGTCCACAGGGTCAACTGAATTGAATGAATTGAAATATTCAGATTACATCTAAGAAGGGGCCCTGTGAAAACGGGAAGAATCGACTTCGAAATGCATACAAAATCTTCCTACATCACAAATACAATTTTCTCAGTGTTCACAACTGAAGATGCCTAATTTCGTTAACAGAGCGTCAACAGCGAAATTATTCATGAAAACACTAAGTCATAATATTTTAAATATTTAAACATCAATAAACAGGAATTTCACTTACTACGATGAGACATTTCAAAAGTGGGAACCATAAGTGTTGCGCATCTGGATACATGGCCTTGATACTAGGCTTGTCAGTATATTCCGAAAGTTTACAAGGAAATCTTAGAGTCGGAAATGGAGGTTCCATATCATATAGGTGTGGTAATACAATAGAAAATAAGTAGCACGTGCTGCATAATTTTACCAAGTTTCGATGATTCAAAGTGTTTAAAATAGTTCCACTAGTAGTAATATTGAAATTACTCTACTTAAATAAGCCAAACTGCATAGGTAAAGAATTAAAAGTTATGGCTAGCTTTTTTGAATGGAGAAGCTGGAGTAGGGCTGAAAATCCAAAACCCAGAGGCTAACTACTAGACACTGAAGTCCTGTGTTCGACTGACTCATTCTAGTAAACAGGCTACTTGTTTGGTTCGTTATGAGACAAAGACTTGGACAAATCTGCACGAAATACAACGATTGGATTTGAGGGTGATACTGTGGGTTGCAACAAAATATTTAATACCTATCCTTTATTATTTTGATTAGTATTATTTTCACTATGAATGATTTCCCTTTTGGTCCTTTATTTATTTCATTCAACGTAATTTTCCTCAACAGTGTTGTCGTATCGAAAATCTCTCCTTGTTGCATGCTGTTTCATTTGTCGAATAATTTAATAATTCTCTACCCTTTCTGAGATTTATACATTCTAGAAACTATTTTGTAAATTAGCTCTAGGACACTCTAAAATCCAGACATAAAATCAAACAAAAATGACCAGTCGAAATAACTAAATTCTGCTTTGTGCAACATGAGGACCCCGATTTCTAATGGCTTCAGAATTCTGACTTTGTAACTTTCCAGGAGTGTGCTGATTCTTAGACCTCGGTATGGTACATCGTATTTTTCTTTGTAACTAAAAGTCTATTTAATTTTACACTTAGCTAATGGTGTCGGCTCATCATGCGCAGTGCAGGTTCATAAGTTCACAGCTAACTAGTCATATTAAGTACTACATGCTCAGTTTTGTTTCTCGTCAGGTGGTATAATATGGTCATTAATACTGGACTTAGGCATAGTGTTAAGTAGGGAGGGAAAATCAATCGTATAATGTATTTGTGAGTATGGGTTAGGAATATCGAGCCATTGTCTTCCGCGATGAGCAATGTTAGCTGATTTGGGACAAGGCTGTCAAACCAAAGAATAGTACCAATCCATGAAGGCTTTGACTACCGATCAGAGGCATTTAAGGAGGTGTAGACTTTTTTCCAGGTGGGTGTGTCGCGACGCCAAGAATGAATGCCAAACGACTGTTGGTGATTTGGATTAAAACTCTTGTCACACGACACAGACGCATTCACCTCTAGTGACCTCTCAGATACATTAAAGTGCGTCAGTGGCACAGCAGTTAGGAATCTCGCCAACCATGAACATGGTAGTGGGTTTGAGCTCCCACCGATGCACACCTGATATCTAAGATCAGCCTGCAAAATTTGGGCTACCGATATCACATGCTGAAAATTCCTCACCGGTACCAAAAATACGGTGTGGAATCAAACTATAATCAAAAAAATTAATATTAGTAGTAATCAGTCAATCGGACGTCAACAAAAAGTATTATCAACTTATACTGTCTAGGCCAGAGGAAGCAAAGTTTCTTTCCGAGTGTCCAAGGATACTCACCTGTAAATGTCGTTTTTGGGAGACCGACCACTGGCTTCAACGATAGGTTGAATCAACCAGCAGTGTGCTTTAATCTTACCGTCGTGTAGCGTGTCCTCTCATCACCAGCAAGCATTGATAACCAATAGGTGTCTGAGATAAGCGTCTCATTTCATTCACGGACCACAAAGCCCCTTCTTCTGACTAGAATCAACTGCAACCAAAGATGTATGCACAGATCACTTTTCATCAAATGACACTGCAAACGGCTCAACACATATTTTCCTGCATCTCTCATACCTCTCCAGAAAATCCTTCTTCTCAATAGGTTGGTTTATCTGGCTTCACAGGTGCTTCACAGCTGGATGCTCATATTCTTGTACCATTTCATACGTAGACACTGAATTATTATTGTGGTAACCAGC